TAGCACTGAACCATCCTAAAGATCTCCTGTTTTCCACACCTCCACCATGGGGGAGCAGTCCAGTTCTTCTTAGTGTTCAGTGTCCACACTCCGCTTGTACTGTCACTCCCTTCTTTACCTGTGCGTGCAGAGGCACGAGTACCCATCGGCCAGGAGACAGCCTTGACTTCCAGCTCAGTGGTAGCATCACTGTGTCTTCAGCATGCTGTTTATTAATATTTTACTAATATCTCTGTGAGAACAAGGCTTTCTGTCTGCATTGCCTCTGGCTAACTCCCCAGCACCTACACAGTGCCCGGCACATGGGAGGTGCTCAGTGAATGTGGCTGAGTGGTTTGGAGCCTTTGCTGAGATCCTCCTGGGCCTTACAGTGCATTAGCAGTGTTCATTAGTTCATCCGAGATCCTCAGCCCGAGAGCCAGGCCTATCCTGAGGGGCCCTGAGTCCAAACCTCCTTCCTAACAGAGAGGCCTGCTGCCTTTCCCTCAGGTGGTGTTGCTGGGCCACCAAGTGAGCTTAGGCCCTGCGTCCAGCATTCCAGCCCATCCAGGATTGTTTACCTGACTACTCTAGAGCAGTAAACCTGTCCCCACCCTTCTGGCGCCTGCCTCCCTCCATCCTAGGCTTGTGTTTGAAGACTAATTTAAATTCCAGGCCTTTGCTCAGCAGATGCCATAGGCTATTTTGTATCCAGTGAGCCCTAGTGAGGGGGGCCTCTTGGGGCTACACAGGGACTCTTAGTGCAGGAGCTTTTGGTGGCCAGACCTCCATACAGTCATCTATAGGGAGGAGGTGGCTCGAGCCTTGACCCAGTGTTTGTTATTCCATGTCAGAGCCTTATCATAAACATTATCCCAGAGTGAGCCACTGAGGCTCTGTGTGAGGAAGGTTTGTTGCTCCAAGGTAGCCAGGAACAAAGAGTGTCAAGTCCTGGGAGTCTGCAAAGTGCCAAGCTGAGGAATTCAGGAAGGCCGAGAGAGACAGAAGTCAGGGCAGCACTTCATTCTAAAGCCTGTGCCTTTATCACCTTGACTATAATGGTCAGTGGCATGCATGCCTCCAGAATGAGCTCCATGTGATTGGAAACCAAGTCTATTAGTTCACCAAACTCAGATCCATGCTAAGAAATAGCTAAAAGTCAATGCTTATTGAATGGATGAGTGTAGCTTTATTGAAAACATCAAGAATGCTCATGAAAAACAAACAAAAGACTGCTCATGAAAGAGAATGTATTGCTTTAAAGTCCTGGTTGTGACCTGATAGATAGAATTTCTAATCCTGGCTCTGTCCTTTACCAGCTATGTAGCCTTGGGCATGTCACTGTCTTCTGCTTCTTTGATTTCTCATCTGTAAATAGGGACACCATCCCTGCCATCTCTCTTCCAGAAAGCAGAGGGAGGCCCCAGTAGACAGTGGTCAACCAACAGGTTCCAGGACTGACCTGAATGCCCATCTACCCCTCTCCAACTTTGTCACCTTGGCAAGGTACTTAATGTCTCTTTGCTACAGTTTTTGGGTTGTTTTTCTTGTTGTTTTTTGGAGACAGGGTCTGGCTACAGCCCAGGCTGGCCCAGAACTTGCTGTGCAACCTAAGCTGGCCTCAAATTCTTGATCCTCTTGCCTCATCCTCCTGAGTGCTGGAATGACAGGTGTGTGTACCACACCTAGCTCTGTAGTTTTGGCTTTTATAAATCTTCCCTTGAGTTGCTGTAAAGATTAAGTAATTAATTAGCTTAGACAGTTCCTGACACATAGTAAGTGTTCAGTAAACCTAGTAATGAATGAAGACTTCCTTATAAATTACAAAAGATGGGTATAGTGCAGAAGGCATGAGGAAGGAACACAGGATTCAGAATCAACATCCCTCTTCTTACAGCATTTCTTGAATGTCTGCTATTGGGGTTCAACAGTGAACAGAAACAGTAAACAGGAAGCAGGGACAGTTAAATAGGATACACATTTCTCAAGAGGTTTGTGCATAGGGTTCTGCGGGAGGCATCAGATCCTGCCAGGTAGGTATAGTCAGGGGTGACAGTTTTCAGTACTAGCTCCACCACTCTGGGACTGAGACATTTGGGACTTCTCAAATGAGCTGGCCCCTGTTTCCTGTCTATAACGCTCCAATAACAAACTCTCCTGGCTACTTCACAAGGGTCCAGAAAGAAAATGGGAGTGGCAGTGGATGTGGATGCATGTGGATTGAGCATGGACATTTGGAGATTCTGCTTCAGCCTTGTGGTCCAGAAGACCCTCAGGGTGGAGCCCCTCTCTCCAGCTCACTGTGGCCTCAGGCAAGCCCCATCCAACCTGCTTGGGGACCTTATCTCCGCTCCTCTTCCATGTGATGAGGGTGTAGGATGAGATCAGTGGACCTCAAATTTGGCTCCAGGATACACATAGGAGTCCCTTCTAAAAGGAGTCATTGAGCCCATAGGACTTCAGCCACAGCCCACAGGACTTTCATCAACCAGTGAAGTTTCCATTTTTATCTGCTCCACATTTGGAGTTCTAAGTAATGTTCTTTTGGGAAAAAAAAAAGTATTCCATGGCTAAAAAAGGCTTGAAAACCTCTGGACCAGATGACCTCTAGGGACCCTCCCAGCCAGCTCTAAGCTGGGAAGGCTTGTATCTAACTATTTTCTTCTAAGTTTTATTTAACGAACACGTACTCAACACTTTACTTCATGCCAGGACTGTTCTTAACACCCTACAGATTGTAATATACTTAATCCACTAGACACCTCCCAGCTGCATGAGGGCCACATGATTTCAGAAGTGACTCTGTGAGCAAACAGAGTCCAGGGGAGCCATTTCCTCTCCAGCCAGGTCTTCTGGCACCCAGGCCAATGACCTCACCGCAGGTCAAGTGGTGCCTTAGCCAGGCTGATGTGAGAAGCAGCAGGGCAGGTGTGTGCAGCACTTGGGTGTGGTCACAGGAAGTCTGTATGTCCCAGGCCCTCAGAGGAGAACAGAGAACAGCTTGTCACGGACACTTTCTTCCAAGGCATGTGCCACGTGGGAGGAAGTGCCTGTTGCCTTAGCAATGTCCACAGCAACAGGGCCACTGCCTCTTGTAATCCATCCCCAACCACCACGCTGCCATTGACAACCTGTACCAGATGGCTATAGATCCAATTTCAGTGGTGGCGGCCAAAGCCAAGGGCCTGGAGAAGGCCCAGGCTTGGGGGGGAGGGGAGGCTGACCTCACCTCCAGCCAGCTCATTATGGGGAGCAGGCCAAGCCTCTGCATCCCACATAATTCAGCTGTCCTGCCTGGCCACTTAACAAACACAGGAGGGGAAGGATGGAGGTGATTCCCCCACAGGAACTTAGTACTGTTGTATATGTCAGCATTTTAGTCAGGCCATGTGTATCCTTTGCAGAACCTTTTTTGTCAGTTTGTAAGTCTTGATGAGAATTTCTGCCACGTGATGGTGGGATGCCCCAAACTACAGGTAGAACACTAAAGTATTAGGGGATGGTCTTAAGGACCTATCAAGCATCCTTGAACTATGAAGTGACCATAGCAGGTGTCCGGGTACTAAAAAACAAAAAGAGGTGATACCTTGCCTTTATCAGCCACAGTGCTGAGTGCTACAGATACAAAAGTAAAATGAACTTACTGTCTTTAAGGAACTCAGAGCCTCTGAGGGGCTGGCAACTGAACATGATTATAAGCTAATGTCCACACCTTGGTGGAAAGAAGCATGCATATCATACACCATGCCATGTTGTGCAACAGAAATAATATGATTCACCTCATGGGGCCAGGATCATTTCTGATCTAGCTGACCTCCAGTGCCAGGGAGTAGGCTGGCTAAGGGCTGTTCTAGAGGGTGTTGGCTGAATGGCTTTGCCCTGCACATCTCTCATTCTCCAGCAGACTGCTATCCATGCAACAGCAGAAGTACACAAGGTGGTAGCAGCAGCAGAAGCAGCAGCACCCAAGTCCTTTCCATTGAAACTGTCACTGGCATCCAATTGACTGAAGCGAGTTCAGAGTCGGAATGAGAGGAAACTGCAAAGTTCTGTGGCAAAGGGCATGGTGCAGGGAGGGGCTAAAGTTTGGGGCTGCTCCTCCATCAGTCTACTACCCATGGAGGCAATGGGACCCCAAGGGAGCCTAACCCAGCTCCCAGGCAGGCAGAAAAGTTTCAAGGAGGAGACATCTGGGCACAGCCTGGATGACCACATCTGAGTGGAAAATGGAGAGGCAGGATTTTCCTGGCATACAGAACAGCGTGTACAGAGTCTAAAGATTGTTTGTTTGAAAAATGCTGAGTGTTTTAGGATTCAAAGGCAGGAAGGCTATGTAATGAGGTTACTGACCACACAAGGAGCCAGGTTACAGCCTTGGAGTCTCTGCTAAAGAGCTAACCTGAGGGCAGGGGGTATCCTGAAAACTTTGAGCTAAAAAATAGAAAGAGAGGGAACATTAGATATTTGCTTCTAAAAGAAGATCATAGCAGTGATGGTTGAGCTCTGAGGACCCAGCTCCTCAGGCCCTCCCTGGGTGAGGAAGGCCTTGAGAGCAAGTGGACTTCAAGCTGGGCCTTGCTGTTGAACTGGACTTTTTTTGTTTTTTTAGTTTTGTTCACTTGTTTGTTTTGCTCTTTTTTGGATGTGCTTTTAATTACAAAGTGAGTCTGTTTATTGTAGAATATTTCTAAGCAGAGGAACACAAAGTAGTCAAGAGAAAAATTCACTCAAAATTCCAAACCCAAACCCAGACATTTTTCAGAGTCATTAGATAAGATGTTGAGACCCAGAGCAGAAAGGGGACCCATGTGGACAAAAGCCTGGAGACAAGAGCAAGCTGGCTGTGCTCAGAGCCTGTGGTGGGAAACGGACTGCGAAAACCTTTCCTGAGCCAGCTGGTGCTGGGCCTCACATCCTCTCTGTTTCAAGCTTGCTGCCCCTAAATCTGGAGGAAGAAGGACAGATTAAGAAGTCAGCCAATGCCTGAGCACAGCCCTGACACACACTCTTTCCTTGGCCAGGTGCTGTTTGCCCTGAACCAGACCCTCCTGCAGCATGAGAGTGTACGGGCTGGAAGTCTGCAGGCACCCTACACCACAGAGGACCTCATCAAGCACTACAACTGTGGGGACCTCAACGCTGTCATCTTCAACCATGACACATCACAGGTGAGGCCCCTTCCTCTCCTGCCACCCTGACAGTATCTGGCTTACCAGATCCAAAAACCTGGAGCCAGCCTTGGTTGGCATTTATTAGACTCCTTCAGCATACTGGGCATAGGCCATCTCTTTTCCAGCCATGATAAACATGGGTCACTGTTACCTTCAAAAAAGGGAAGAGACTTGCTCAAAGCCACACAACTTACAGTTGTTGAATTATCAAGTTGTGAAGATCAGCAACTTGAGCCAGGTCTGCATGACTATGGCCTAGGACTCTGGAAGCTTAGCCTAAAAGACCTGGGAGGCCTCTGAGAATTTCAATTCAGCATCTGGGGAAACTAAGGCCCATGGAAGGAAAAGCTCACAATCATTCTGAGCTTAGACCTGAGTTCTGGGCATTCTTCTTGATTCAAGTCCTAGAGGAAACGATGGTTAGACAGTGAGTGAGGCCCAAGGAGCTGAGCAGGCTTTCCTGCACAGATTCCACCATGCCTCCCCAATTGCTTTTGGGTAAATTCTAAGACATTTTTTCCAGCATTCAAGACCCTCCAGGACCTGCCTTCTGCTGGCCTTGTCACAGCATATGTTCCCCGACCCACAAACCTTTCTTGCTCTGGGGTCCTATGGAACTTGAAACTCTCCTAATGCAGCTTGTCTTCTTGTACTTTTGTGCCTTTGTCCAAGCTCCTTCCTCCTCCTGGATTCATCCCACTTGACCAAGATCAAGTGTCACCTCCTCTGAGAAACCTTCCTGATTTCCTGGATGGAGATAGGTATTCCCCTTGGTGCCTCTGAGCCCCCATGCTTCCTCAGTCATGATGCTTGGGTGTCCATTCACTCAGGAAGCATTTGGATTAGATAGAGGAGGCTGTTTTCCTGCTCAAAACACTACCTAGGCTCCCCATTTTTCTCAGGGGAAAAGTCAGTCTCTGCAGTGATCTGTATGCCCATGCTCTGCCCTGGTTCCCAACCCCATATCCTCTGGTTTCCTCCTCCTGCACACACTCCTTGCTTCTCCAGCAGTCCACTTCACAGGTTCCTGTCTTCACACTGCTGCTCCATCTGCATGGAATACTCTGCCCAGGTATCACCATGGCTCATTCTCCTCCATCTCCAACACTCAACTCAAATATCACCAGCTCAATGAGCTGGCCCCATTGGTCCTATTTGAAGTACAGCCTGACCCCCACTCTCACACTCTCATGCCCTTTATTATGCCCCACTTTTCTCTCAGGGTCTGGAAGATCCTCCAATACAATAAATATTTGATGCATTCGTTTATGACCATTTCTGATCCTCCCCACTAAAATGCAAGCTCCATGAGAGCAGGCTTTGAGTCTGTCTTATTCATTGATATATCCCAAGTGGCCCAGAGCCAGAATTTATTTACTGAATGAATGAATGAAATAGTTTGTAAATGCCAGGCACAGTGACATTTAAAAGGATGTGGTGTGGTGCCAGTGAGGGTGGCCCTTGGGGCTTCCCCTTCCACAGGGGAGTCAGGGAGACCTAAGAAGTCATTGTATAGTGTGATCCTTCCTCTGGGGAGGGTAGAGATGCAGTTGGAGTCCATGACAGGAACATCTCATTTAGATGGGGCTGGGACTGGGGCTGAGGGCAAGAAGGACAGATTCCTACAGGGTGAGAGATCATAGAAGAGCCTGAGTTGGCACAGATATGAGGAGAAATCAGAGAAAGCCATGTGTGTGCAAGTGAGCCACAGAACAAAAGTAGGAGGAGGAGTCAGATTTGGGGTTGGAGGTGTGCTGAGGCAGAGCCAAGATGCTCTGTCTGTGGTTGCCACCTCCCAGACATGGGCTCCTGAGGGTAGGAGTATGCTGCTCATCTCTTGTGTCAGTGAGCAACTATCACACAGGCAAATGTAAGCACACCATGTGCTTAGAGCAGACTTAGAGAATGAAAGAGGAAGAAGCTGGAGATTTTGCCATCAGAAACTCAGGGGTCTAAGGGTCCTGGCTCAGTGGTGAAGTGAGAAAGGAGAGAGCAGCCCTGACTCCATGAAGCTGATAAGATTCTCACTAGTGCCCAATTTTATGGCAAGGCCCCACTCTGCGGCATCTGCTGGAGTGAAGCAGGAGGAGCTCTGTGGCCAAGGGTCCCCTGGTCACAACTCAGGGTGACCTGGCTATGATATGGCCAGCCTAGAGGGAGGGGCTTGTAGGACAAGGCCCTGGCAGGGCTGTGGCTGACCCTAAGCTGAAAGAGGGAGGCACAGGGTACCCTCAGGAGATAGCAACTTCAGATTTCCTTTGAGTGTGTGTCTAGAAGCACTGGTTTGTCTCTGGCAGTTGGTTACTGTGTCGGGGATCTGCCACCAGTGCCTATACCTGAAGTGAAACAGAGGATGGGTAGATCAGAACACCCAGATTAGAAGAGCAACAAAAGCTTTATGCAGGGGTACACAGTAAGAATCTAGCCTTTTGAGAAGTAGGAACCCTGCCCCTAGACATAGAAAAGTGTAATATCAGGCTAGCAAGACTGACCCACTGCCTGTGTGGGTCTGGCTGCAGTGGGGCTGCTCCTGCGGCTAAAACCTTCAAAGACTACAGAGGCAAAGGATCCTGAGGCTGTGGGGCAAGTCTCTACACCTGTAGTCTGAGAGGCTTCAGGAAGAGATGAGGAATGAGAAAGTGAGTCCCTTGAGGGTGTAGTCTGCTAGGTAAGGATGATTAGAGGTGCTGGTGAGCATGGCAGTCTGGTTGGTGGGGCAAGGAATCTCCTAAGGCATGGTTTGCAGAGCAGAGGGCAGGAGGTTGAGGAGTAAAAACACCTACTGAGGGTGTGGGAGCCCCAGAGTGTCCAAGCCAGGGATCACTGAGTTCAGAAAGATCCTCTAGCTGCAGCCTATCAGGATGATGCTTTGGAGGCCAGGGCAGGACAGGCACAGGGCCAAAATTAATCATGCTGGGGCCTCCCAGCAGGGGCCTCCCTGCTCCACTGTCTCCACATTCAGAAATGACTGTGCCTTGGTCTCTGTAGTCCCCAGATCACTGTCAGTACCTGGCATGAGAGGGCCACTTAGAGGCCCACTCCCAGGATACCTTGCCTTGGTCCCCCACCTGCCTGAGGGGTAGAGTAGCTCATAAATGTCTTATCCAAACCCAGATACTTTTGAGCGTGAAACAACTCTGGATCAAAACAGTTGTCAATATGGAGCAATCTCTTCCAGCCATAAGCCTGAACTGTCCTGAACAAACCACGACATGTGGTCACACTATGACCTGCCTCCTCTGAGCCCCACCAACCCACTGCACTCTCCAAGGGTTCTTGTGGACATGTCTGACTCTCCCACTGGGTGCCTCATGGGGCAGCAAACACAGTCTGAGGGTTTTCAGTGCTCTCTAGCCTGACGCAAAGATGGACCCATGAAGGGTCTCAGAGGGTATCAATGGATGGATGGAAGGGACTTGCTGAGATGGGTGTCATCAGAAGACCTAAGCATTTGACCTTCCTAGTATAGGAATGGAGCCTACACTGAAGCTTTCCTCATGCCCTCACCCCAGCCCTCCCAATCCATGTCCTTGTCACCCTTTCCTAGACCTATCTCTATAAGGCCCTGGGGACCTTACTTGTCCTCTTTAAAATGTTATCATGCATCCTGCACTTAAACTAGTCATGGGAGATTTAAGGCCCTGGACAAGTCTAATGACATCATTAATTTGCTTCCCTCCCAGCCCTGGCCCAAACCCAGGCCCCATCCTTGGCACGAGGCCAAGGCCCATCAGCACAAGACATGTGGGGAATGTCGGCCAGCAGCTAGGCTGTCTCAGGAGCCCGAGTGTCCAGCCGAATTCCTTCATGGCGTTGAAATTTAACTTTTTTGTTCTTGTTCTTGTTACATTTTTGAATGTCTATGTACAAGTGCACATTTGTGGTCAGGAAGCACAGGAAGAAGGGTGATGTAGCCACAGGTCCCAGGGACCCTTGGAAAGGGAAGCAGAAAGCTGCCTTTGTCAGCTCTCTAAAGCCAGCTCCATCTCCAGGGTAGGTGTGTAACAGCTGAGTTTATTCAAGACATCCTTTGTGCCATGCATGTGCTAAGCACTTTCCAAAATTTGTCTTATTTAATCTCTACAACATTTCTATGCATTTCTCCCATATTACTATCTTGGAACCTGAGTCTCAGAGAGCCCAAGAAACCTTCTAGTTATAGTGAGACCCCCCAGATGATAAGTGGCAAAAGAGAGATTCCAAGCCAAGTGATGTTGGCTGTGTACCTTCAAAACTTATAGCCACTCTTCCTCACCACCTCTCAGTCCATTCATTCATCTACTCACTCACTGATTGAACAAATACTCACTTGTGGTATAATGTGGTATAATTCCTTTACCCCAGGAATGGAAAAGAAACCTTTGAGGGGCGTGTTTCCAGAAATAACCCCACTCTCACCCCTAGACCTGCCTCTCTGTTTTCCTTCCCATTAAGAAGCTCTTGGTGCTTCCTATAACTCATCAAGTCAAGTGCAACCTATTTTGTCAGGACTGCCAATTATCCTTTCCAAAATGAGGGGAAGATAAGATAAATTCCTTCATTTGTCTATTTGGCAAACAGTCCCTGGGCACCAGCACACTGTGAGCCCTGACTGGGCACCAGCAAGGCTGTTACGTACAGCTGTGCAGGTGGCACGCTGCTCAAGATTAGGAGGCAGTCGTCATATCTTTGGCTTGATCCTCCTAGAACAATGAATCAGGCCTTTCTGACAGGAGCCCCACAGTTCATGTGCCTTTACCTCCCATCTCATTCTGAGGAACATACTGGTCATCAGCCAGCTGATAACCCAGGCAAATGTCCCAGCCTCCTTGGAGGACTGTAGGTCTCAGCCTCTGTTGACTCCTCTATTTTTCTAAGAAAGAGTGTTGACAACTTGGAATGGCTCTAGAATGCAAATGACTGGGCCTCCATCTTGGGGCTAAAAACCTGCAGCAAATTCGTGTCCTCATGCCAGACCTCAATCAACCTCATCCATCAGTCAGTTAAGACTGGCATCTTGTGCTTCATGAGTTGACAGGTGAAGGTGGAGAAATGGAAGTGAAAAATGGGGTGGAAGACATCCTGTAAGCAAGAACTTAGAAGTTGTAGTAACATCAACTAATTTAGGGGAAAGAAGGTATGTTTGACTCACTACCTCAGTTTCTTCAATGGCCACACACACAGGTTGGAGGAGATGGTGCTAAATACCTGAACTTGCCAGCTAGGCTGGAATGATGAAATGTTGAGGATGGAAGAGCACAGGATGGGCAATTGAGTCCAGGAAGGGACAGCACAACCCTACATTCAGGATTCAATTATCCTTTTGGGGGTACTTTCTTTGTACTAGGCACTAGGACCTGGGATGACCAAGATCCACCCTTGAACCCAGGGAGCTTTCTGCCTAGTTCAAGAGCACATTAACAATGTTGTTGACAAGTCCTCAGCCTAACTCCATGCCCTGTGGCCTTCCTGCTACACCTGGCAGCTTGGTTGACCCTCCACACCCTCTTACTGAACTGAGTTCCTTCCACGTGCCAGTGTAGGCCCTGATGCTAAAGTGAAAGCAGTAAGTAGACTATCTTGGCCCAACTTTCCTGGGCCTCTGTCTCTGGATGCTGAGGTAAACCCAGTCAGAGGCACAAGCAGATCCATGTAGCAGTCCAGCTGCTGGGGCTCTCAGCCTGGCTCTGCCACTTCACTAACTGAGACTTTGCGCACATCTCAGGATCTTTTCCTCTCTTGCTTGTGTCACCTATAAAACTGGGGGCTGATAGAAATGTATAAAACACCTAGTCCACCGTCCAGCCTAATAAAGGTAAGTTGCCCAGTCCCGCCCAGGTGGGACTTTATCCAACATGTGCCCTGGTCCTACAAGACTGAAGGTGGCCTCTGTCTTGCTGTTGCAGCTGCCCAACTTCATCAACACCACCCTCCCACCACATGAGCAGGTGACCGCCCAGGAGATCGACAGCTATTTCCGCCAGGAGCTCATCTACAAGAGGAACGAGCGCATGGGGAGGAGGGTAATGACACTGCTGCAGGAGAACGAGGACAAGATCTGCTTCTTTGCCTTCGGAGCAGGTTTGGGCCCCTGACCTCTACTTCTTCACAGCAAAAGTAAAGGTCTAGAATGGGACAGGGAAGTCACACAGTACCCAGTCACATAGCTGGGACCCTAGGGTTTCTCCTGCTTCTGGTCATAGGGTCTCTCATAACAGTCCCTGTGGTAAGGGAAGAAGCCCCTGCCAATTGGCTCTTTCAAGCTCCAGGTGGACATACAGATAGCCCAGAACAAAAGCCAGTTGTGACCGTCTAGCCCAGCCTTTGCCTATTAGAAGAGAGCCAGGGCCAAGGCTGAGGGCCCCCCCAGGGAAAGGTGATAGGCTCTGACAGCCGCCAGTCCTAACTTCAGATCCCAACTTACCTGGTGCCTTCTCAAAGACCCAGTTCCCTCTTCTGTAAATGAGAGTGGTAGCAATAACGATTTGGTGGATCAAAAGATGTCTACCTCGAAGAGTAGATGTAAAGATTACTGACAACATTTAAATAACCAGCCACATAATAGGAACTCAAAATGGCAGCTATAATTGTCATCATCATCCAGATTCATGATGAATGTCAGCATCACCATCACAATGACCATGAGCTTGACGCTTCCATCTGGGGGATCTGTCTCTTCCTACAAAGGGGAGTCTAGAAGTTGGGTGCAGAGCTCAGTTAGCCTCTCTCTCTCTCCCTCTTTCTTCTCACTTCTTCACCCTTTCTTTCTCTGTGACTGTCTCTGTTAGTGACAGCATTGGCTACATTGGGGTCAGAGTATTGTATGTGCCTTCTTCAGTAATCAGCTTTTGCATAGCAGCTTATGACAATAAACATTTACTTTTTGCTTGAGTTACTTGACATTGGGTTGACAGAGTTCACCTCCTGTTTCATGAGAACTGAAAGATGGCTTACAGATCTGCTCACCATGCCTTGTGCCCCATTCATGGCTGCTGTCCCCACCCTCCCCTTCCCTGGCCTATTACCCACACCCCTCCAGGTAGGACACTCAGTCCAATCCACAAGGGTCCTCACGGATGTCCTACTTTGTAATGAGATATGTCTGCTGCCTGAGCTCTGTTGCCCCCACTTAGCCCCAAATACATTAAGGGCAAGGACTGGAGAGATATCTGTCAAGCTGTTCTTCCCCCTCTGTATTCCTCTGTACAGCCAGGCACCTGGGAGGAGCAAGCCCTCTGGGACAGCCCGCTAAGGCCTCAGCAGCCAGAAAGAGTTCTAACTTGCACTAGAGCTCTGCCATGGTGCTCTGTGGTCTCCCTTGAGTCCCTTCCCCTCTGTCAGCCTCAGTTTACTCATCTGATCAAGAGTTGGTGCTGGATTGAGCTGTCTAGGATTCCAGGATCTGTTCAGATGCAGGTGTCAGAGAGGAGAGGGATCTTGCTGGGGCCCTGGGGGTGCTTCATGGAGCAACTGGCTGGGGCAGGATCTTGACTGACTACATGGAGAGGGCAGAGCCACTCCCCCATTGCAGGCACCTGCTGGAGGACTGGCATGAATTAGGAAAGCTTTGAGGATGTGTGTAGAAAAGTAGTCCCCAAGTACTCCTCTGCTTCTTTACCACCCAGCTGTCCCATGCTCCCTCATATAGGCAGTGCATCCTATGCTGAACAGCCCCAGCTGACTTCAGAAGGGGAGCCACTTGGAGTCACCCAGTCCCCAGGCTCCTCCCCAGGCCTAGGAAGGGTCCCTGGAAAATGTGTCATTATGGGGAGAACCATTTGCCCCACCTGAGTAGGTGACCTCTGTCCTTTCTGCCCTAGGGCCCAGAGCTATAATCATCCAGGGCTCAGGTCACTAATACCAGCTCACTCCTGTAGCCAAGGAGTCTAAAGATGAAAACCACAGCAGTATGGGCAGCCTTGACACTGACCTCCTTTTTCCTGACATTCCAAGTCCAAGAGAGCACAAATGGCCAAATGGCCACTCAACAACCAGTTTCAAATTAAAACATCCTTTTCTTTAAAAAGAATAATAGTGCTAGAAGGCAGAAGGTATCTTAAAGTCCTTTCTTGGCAGAATAGAAAACCAGTAACTGTGTTCATCTCCACCCCCCCACCCCATTAACCTTATGGTTTTAGATGGGAAAGAGGTGAGTTTGCTTGACAGATAAATACAGTAGAGCAGCTGAGGCTGCTAGACAGGAAGAGAGAGGTTTAGAGAGCACTGTTCCTATCCTTCCTGATAGGAACAGTGCTCCAGGAGAGTTTAGCCTTAGGTAGAGGAAGGCACCTTTTCACCTGAGGGTTGGAGGGAGGCTTCTGGCAGGCAGGCAGCTTGGTGGTAGACAGGTGAGCACATTCCCAGTTGATGATTTCTAATCAGAGCTCCACTTCTGTCATGAAGGTTAAGTCATCTGCAGAGAAGGAGAAGGAGGGGAAAATATTTGATATAAATACAAGAAAGATTGGCCACAGAGCTGACCAGGACAGGATGCTAAGGAGGCTTGAACTCATTGGTCAACTATGATTGATTGGTAGTGGCTGCCTGAAGCGTGAAACTGTTAAGAATGGTAAGACCATGTCAGAGCCCAGCAGAGAAGAGGCCTGATTGAGCCATAATATCTTCTGAGGACCAGGATTCAGGCACAGGCCTCCTACACACTTGCTTTCTCTGCTGGTGATGAGGGCTGTGACCCTGCCATGTTGCAAATTACAAGATGTTCTACAGCAACACTAACAGCTATGGTGTAAAGGTGATGCTGTCCCTCAGGCCTGTCTCCTGATTTTATTCTCACCCTGCTCAGTTACCATACCATTGTTGCAGGACAGGGCCCATATGCCTCAGAATTGCCAACAGCTGGTAGATGGTATGACATGTTGGACCAAACCACACAGAATCAAGTTCATTCTCTTCAGTCACGTGGTATCTCTTGGGCCCTAGAACTCATTGTGGTGGTGGCGGGTGGGGTCTCAATCCTAGGCACCAGAAGGAAATGACAATTTTATCTCTACTTCAGGGGAAACAATTTTTCTCTGGATGTTTATCTGTTCAGCCATTTAGGAATCTTCTAGCTTTTTTTTTTTTAAGAATAGAATGTATAATGTAGGAGGAGTTGGGTTGGAGATATAAACCAGACTTAGGGGTAGACCAGGTAACCTCTAGGTCCCATTCATTTCCAACCCTGATGATCAGTGATTATCACACACTGGCATGCTGTTGTCTGAATAGAATTCTAAATTCTGACATTCCAAAATCCTTTGACCCCACCATCTATTGTTCTAAGATTGCCTGGTTCTAGTATCCTGACATCCTAGCATCATAGCGTTCTAACATTCCAGCATAGCTTGCTTCAATCACTCGTGGATTCCTTGGGAGATGTATGGAGCTAAGAGACTTCCAGAACCTAGAAATCCCTTTTTGTAAGACTACTCCCATCTGCCCCCACAGGAAGCAGAATCCATGCAGAAAGCAGGAATTGAAGAGTTCAAAGAAGATGTGTAAGCATTGGAGACAGAGACTCTGTATCTGTTATCCCAGTGCCCACACAGCCTGTATGCTGAGCCTTCAGGTTGTACACTCATCATCAGAACCACACCTATGGGACTAGAGTGTGAGCAGATTAGTGTTAAGATCAGAACTTGAGAGAAGGGACACACATAAACCCAACATCCCACACACCTCTAACACGGTTTTTTACTAATAACAATAGCAGTGTCTGGGGGTGTATCTCAGTGGTCAAGTACTTGCCTATCTTGTGGGAAGCCCTGGGTTTGATCCTCAACACTGCAAAAATAAGTGAATAAATAACAACAGCAGTTGGTCCCTGGACAACAGATACCATCCTGCTTGAAGAATACCATATCATTAGCTCATATGACCCTCCCCCCTGGAGAGAAACAGGGTGGGAACTCATTCCATTTGATGTGCAGGTACATGGAGGTGCAAAATAGAAGTCAGAGAGCCCTAGTATTACAGTAAGATGATGGTGCTACTCTCCACTATTCTTCCTAACTGCCAGCCTCCCTAAAAACACCATCCAGCTTCTGCTTGGGCCCTCTATTCTGCTGAGGGAACCCTCCTGTTCTGCCCATCCCCTCCTCTGCAGTGTCCAGAATTTCCCTCTCACAACTCTGCTCATGCTCTCAGTCCATCTCTGAGCACTTGGGAAGATGCTCATTACCCACTCGTTGCATGAATGTATGAATGGATTAAATAAATAAATAAATAAAATTGCCAGCACCCAGGTCTATAAGCAGAAGTGCCCCCTGCTCATTACCCCACAGCAAAACCTGGCCTGTAACCTCTGTCTGTGCCCTCAATGGTGAAAACCTGGGGGTCCAGTAACATCATATCTGCCCTTCAGATGGATTGACTGGATTGACAAATCTAAAAGACCCAAGAATCCACTAGAAAAAAGTCCCAGGTCCTGTTGAGCAAACCACACAGGCATAGGTTGGAGGAGGAAGAGTTAGTTCTAAGCAGGAGAGGAGGCAGCCAGATGGTTAGGAGGAGAATCAGCAGGGCAAAGGGAATGTTAAGTCAAGAACAAGAGAGCAAAAAAGGATGACAGCCTACTGTCATGGAAATGTCTTGCTATCTGGGATCTTCCATGTGGCCTCCTCAGAGCCTTCTCCCACTCCACTGCACAATGAGGGACTTAGACAATGTGACGTCTAAGGTCGCGTCTAGTCCAGCTTTTGCAATTCTGTTCTTGATGGAAGGGGCTTTGGTGGTTGGCACTGAAGAGAAAGCTTCCTGGAAGAGGTGAGGACCAGTTGAAATGTTCCCTATGCAGGACCAGAAACCCTTCAGTTTCTCTCATCAAGATCCACACCCATCTTCCCCCTCCCACTGCCTTGGTTCTCAGTGGACTCAGGAACAGAAGCCTCAGAGCTGGTGGCTCATCCCAGAAGGGCAGCCATGTCCCACACAGCTTTTGAAACCTTAGAAAGGAGAAGTCACACACACCCTGCTGCTTTCTCCCCTCCTAGGCAGCACCTACATCTGCAACACTCCCCAAGCTGGGACTTGAGGTGAGAAATGTTTCAGAATTTCCAAAGACAGTGCAAAAAAAAGCCCTG